CGCCTGGTTCTTCGACTTCCGGGCGGCCTTCCCCAGCGTGGCGCACCACTTCTTCTTACGGGCCCCGAGGGCGGCAAGCTTGCCGCCGTGGCTGCGCAGATTCGTGAAGCACCTGTACCAGCAGAACCGATGCTCCTTGGTCGTCGGGGGCGTCGTCCACGAGGGTTTCACATCTCTCGCTGGCATTCGGTAAGGGTGCCCTCTGTCGCCAATCCTTGTCGCCGCGGCGGTTGACATGTTGCCCCGGCGAGTGCGGAGGGAGCTGCCTTCCTTGACCACGAGAGCTTTTGCGGACGGGCCACGGTCGCAGAAGACGTCGGCGAGGCGGCCCCTGTGTTGTGCGAGATATTCCGGTCCTTCGGTCAGGCCTCTGGTTCGCATATGAACTTGCCCAAGACAGTCCTGGTCCCGCCACTTCCAGGAGACCGCGACAGTATGCTCCAGGACGTGCTCTCGCTGCTGCACGGCTGGGGGGGCATGCAGGGTTCTGACCGCGCGAAGTATCTCGGTTTCATGTTTGGGCTGGGCCGCGGCCACAAAGCATGTGACAAACCTTTCGCTAAATTCATGGGCCGCGCGAAGTGCTGGAGCTCCGCAGGCGGTGGTTTGCTTGCGACGGCGGTGGCCTGTTCGGTGTACATCGCATCCGTCGTCAGCTTCCTGGTGCAGCTGGACGACCTGCCGACTGGCTGGGCGGAGGTGGAGCAACGAGCGATTAGTTTCAGGGTGCATGCAGTGGGCAGACGCATCGGACCTACACCATCGCTTTGCTGGGCTTCCCGAGGGGCTTCCTGGACATGCGCGCGACGCAATCGGTCGCCAAGCTCAGGGCTGGACATCTGGAGGCGGCAGCACTCGGGGGCCTGAGGATTGCGAGCAGAGCGACGGCTCTACGGCGTGCCCGGCTCGACTCTGACAGCCTTCCCGGTGTCGCCCGCTGGGCGGAGCGGTTGGACTGGTCATTTGTCTTGCAGCTGGACAGGGCGATGGCGACGTGTAGCGCCAGGGGCGTCTCGACCGCCGCCGTGGAGCGCCGCAAACTGCGCGGCGCTGCAGGCGGCCGCGTCGAGAGGCCGCTCACGCGCGCGTTGGCACGCTTCGCGCAACGCAGCTTTCAGCGCGTGGCACGCTCGACGCTGCCACGCCTTGGAGCGGGGGGCCTCGAGCCACGGATCCGCCACAAACTCGACAGATGGCGCGTCGACGTGTGGCCCCGTCACCCGGTGGCGCACTGCCTCACCTTCCTTTCGGCCTTGCGGAACAAAGTGCCGCCGCGGGTCTGGGCAGCTGTTTGGCGGTCCCTTTGGAACGGCTGGGCGAGATCCCGGCGAACTCAGAGTCGTCATGGTCTCCCGTGGTGCATGTTCGATTGCTCCCCAGGTGCGCCAGATTCGGTGGAGTATTATGCTCAATGCCAACGTCTTCCCGCAGTTGCAGGCCAGCTGCTGGGGCTGCCGCGCCATGAGTCGCCGGAGGCGCGGTTGGCAGCGTTTTTCGGCCTGGACGTGCGGGCGAGCATGCCGTAGGGCCAGGTGCCGCGGGTCTGCGTGCGACTGTGCGCTGCCTACCGCACACAATGCGGTCGGCGCGGTCCGGCGGCTAAGGACGCTCTCCGCCAATCATGCCGAGAGGCCGTACGCGGCAGCGCGGCGGCGACAGCAGCATGCGACGCCGCCGTGGACTGGCGATGGGCTCGGGGGTCGTGATATGACGCTTTGTAATGCTAGTGCCTCTTTCCTCCTCCTGTCTCCGCCTCCTTCCGCCGAGCGTGTCTATTTGTATGTCGCCGCCGCCCTTTCGTGATGACGTGCTGACGGAGGTCGGTGTTCGCGGATGGGTCGGCCTGGCGTTGGGCGTTGGACACCGAGGGCGTTCCTTGGACCAACGAAGATGAGCTTTGGCTTCTGCCTGGCTCCCTTCCCTTGTCTTCGGCTGCTCCTCCTACTGCTGCTGCTTCCCCCTCTTCCTCCAACCCTGGGCCGCCTCCCGTGCATTGTGTGCAGTTGAGGGCAACGGTCTGGACGCCTGTACAGTGGGGGTGCGCGATTTGTCCGCCCGCCCGCAGCGACATGAGCTCGAGGCTCTCACGGTACCGATGTGGTGGTCCAGGCTGGCTGGACCGCGCGACGGCGTGGAACCCCAGAGGGTCGATTTGCGGGTTCTACCGCTGCTGGCGGAAAACCAGGAGGGGTCACTGGGGGTTCCCAACCCGTCCACCCCCCTCTCGAAAACCGGGGGGGGGTCACTACCAGTTCGAAGCCCCCCCCAGTCCATCATGAAAAAAGGGGGGTCACTACCAGCTCGACCCCCCCCCTCGAAATCCGTGGGGGGTCACTGCCGGTTCGCACCCCCCCCTCGAAAACCAGGGGGGGTCACTACCGGTTCGAACCCCCCTCCTCCCCCCGTCGCCGCCGGCAAACGATTCCCGCTCCTCGGAACAGTTGGACAGTGGTGGGGATATTGGGACAGTGGTGGCAACGGTGGTGGTGGGGACAGTGGTGCGGGGACAGTGGGACAGCGGTGCGGAAAGTGGTGGGGAGGGTGGTGGTGGGGACAGTGGTGGGGGTTTCGAACCGGTAGTGACCCCCCACGGTTTTCGGGGGGGGGGGGTTCGAACCGGTAGTGACCCCCCTGGTTTTCGAGGTGGGGGTGTTCGAATCGGTAGTGACCCCTCCTCCCGGTTTTCTGGAGTGGGGGGGGGGAGGGGTTCGAACCGGTAGTGACCCCGTTCGGTTTTCTGGAGGAGGGGGGGGGGGGGGTTCGAACCGGTAGTGACCCCCCCCTCGGTTTTCCAGAGGGGGGGGGTTAGGGGGGAGGGGGGTTTGCCGCCGGGGGGAAGGGGGGGGGGTTCTAGCAGGAGGGAGGGGAGGGTATTTTCGGAGGGAGGGGGGGCCCTCGGGCTCCAGAGGAAGAGGGGGGGAATCTTCCACAGTAAGCGGCGGTGGATCACGCTCTCTCGTAGATTTGAACATGCAGTTCCCCCCCCCTTCCCTCCTCTCGCCGTCTTCCTCCTTCTGCTTCCTCGCTTCGCCTCTCCTCTCAATCGTGTTGCCGACTTGTTGCGCCTGGCTGGCTCGATATTTCGAAGCCGTGGTAGGCCGTCCTGCTCAGGAGTGCTGCGGGAACCTGCTTTCGTCCCCCTCCTCTTTCACCCCCTCTCCTCTCCCCCGCCTCCTCTGTGCCTCCACTCTCCTCGACACGATGCGGGGCGAACTGTCGTGACCTTTTCCGCCCTGGCCGCGTGGCCGATGGAGTCTGGGCCACAGTGCGCCCAGATGCTCGTTCGTGCTCCCAGGACCCAGTAGGAGCGAGTGTGTGGCGGCATCAGGGTTTCTCGATGCTCCCCGTGTTTGCACAGCTCCCATGTTTGTTTGCGCAGACGTGAAAGAAGAACTAGCGCGCGCAGAGGGGCCATGATGAATCGCTGGCCTTCCGCGTCGAGGTCCGACGACAGGTTGACGAGTCCACCGAATTCGAACCGCCATCCTCCCCTTTCTCTTCTCTTTCCTCCCGCCCTTGCCTCCCGGAAGCGGAACGCTAGCTGCCCCTTCCAGAAGGGTAAGCTTGCATTCGGCCTCCTCTGCCTGTCTCGTCCTCGCTCTCCCCCGAATTCGGCCACACGGGGGCGAAGTTATCTATATCAACTGGTCCGGGCTCCAAGCCGTGCGGCCCAGCCTCGACCTTCGGCGCGTGAGTCCCTCTCTTCTTCCTCCTCCTCCCCCTCCTCCCTCCTGCCCCGAATTGGTACCTTCGACGCTACTGGTTGCACGGGTGTGCGCGGAGATGCTTGCAGCTGTTGCTGGCTGACCCTGGGCCGCTTCGGCCACCCAGGCTCGTCCTTCCCAGCCGTTGCAGTGCAATTTCGCGCTTGCCAGGCGTTTCTGCGCCCGCTTGCGAGCCCAGTATGCATAGTTGGCGAGTGCGTACACCCAACTTCGAGTGTCCCCTCCTGTTGCCTCCCTCCCTCCTGCCCTTTTCTTGTTCTTTCCGCTGCGGCATGTCAGGACTCTGGGGTATGTTCCGACCTCCTGCCATATGCGGTACTGTGTCACATCTTCGGTGTAGGTGTTGTAGAGTGCCATTTTATATGAATGATCGTTCGGATCATGGGGGTATGCGCTTACAACGCTTTAATACTTCCATCCCCTCTCCTCCCCTTTCCTCCTCCGCCTTGTTCCCCTTCTCCTCTCGCCTCGAACCGCTCATTTGCTGTGAAGATTCCAGCCGCTGATCATTGTCGTGTGGCTACCGGCGATGTGCCGCCTGTCGGGCTTTGGTGTATATGTCTGCGCTTGGCGCTGCCATTCCCAGCCAGGCAGGACCTCGGGGTCGTCCTCACCGGCACGGTGAGGTTACCATTGGACTGTCTAGTGAGATGTTGCGTTCTTGCTGTGTCCGAGGCCCTCAGACCCTTTGAGGCTCCTGGCGCTCAAGAAAAGCATCAACAACAACCTCCTCCTCCTCCTCATCATCATCATCAGCAGCAGCATCAGCATCAGCATCAGCATCAGCAACATCATCATCAGCACCACCACCACCACCATCATCATCATCATCACCATCATCATCATCATCATCATCATCATCATCGTCATCATCATCACCATCATCATCATAACCATCATCATCATCGTCATCATCAGCAATAGCAGCAGCATCATCATCGTCATCACCGTCATCACCGTCATCATCATCATCATCATCATGCCATCATCATCATCACCATCATCAGCACCGTCACCATCATCACCCGCGTCACCATCAACAGCAGGGTCAGCATCAACATCATCATCAGCATCATCGTCAGCAGCATCATCATCACCACCATCACCAGCATCAGCACATCATCAGCATCATCATCAACAACAACACCATCCTCTTCCTCCTCGTCGTTGTCCTCATCATCGTCATCATCATTGTCCGCTGCCGTTTTGGCTCGAGCCATTGTGCTTCAGTCGGGCAGCGGGGGCTCGCGGTGCCACCCCTCGGCCCACGGGAGCATGGCCGCGAGCCCCTGAGGTCGCGAGGCCGGCGGCCAGTGTGGGACCGGCAGCCTCTGGCGCCCGCTCGGGTAGCAGCAGCGCTCGGGGTCGTGGCTCGAAGAACAACACAATTGCATGAACATCATTTCTCGAAGCTCCGTGCGGATTTCCCGGATCGGCGCCGTGGCCCCCCTGGCGGCGCCTCCGGCGACGCCGCTGCGGGGCACAGCGCCGATCCAAGAAAGCCGCGCGGACCTCCAAGAGATCTTGTTGGATGCAGTTTTTTCTTCCTCCAGTGGCGGCAGGCGGGTCGCCCGCCTGACGATCGGAGGGGCTCGATGTTATGCACCACGTCGTGTGGTCGGTCGATGGTGCTGGGGAGGTCGGCGAGGCAGCTCTGTGCACGAGCGCTCCACGGTGTCCCACAGGGTTTGGGCGGCAGGGGCGTCTGTGCGCACCGAGCTCGCTGGCCGACCAAGCCACGTGGCGTACACATCGAGTCCCTTCCAGACGAGGCAAGGGCGTCCCGTGCGTGGCCGCGCCACTGCCTGCGGCGCCCCAGGGGGCCCAGCCGTGCCAGATGGCAGATTACAACTATCGAAGACGCTTGCGGCGAACCACCGCCGCCGCCCCGCCGCTTGGAAACGCATGAGTGGCCAAGCGTCGGGCTGAAGTATTGCCACGCTGTTGGGCTGCGTGTTCCCCTAATTGTTGTGGAAACCCTGGGGGGGAATACTCGCGGGAGGAAAAGGAGGAGAGGAAGGAGACGGAGGAGGGGGAGGAGGAGGAGAAGGAGGAGGAGGAGGAGGAGGAGGAGGAAACGGATGCTTGCACGGTGGCGGATTTGTTCAAGTACATCATCGTGGGCGACGCTGGCGTGGGCAAGTCGTGCCTGCTCCTGCAGTTCACAGACAAGCGCTTCCGCGCCGAGCATGACATGACCATCGGCGTCGAGTTCGGGCACCGCCTGGCGGAGCTCAACGGCCAGAAGGTCAAGCTGCAGATCTGGGACACCGCTGGGCAGGAGGCGTTCCGATCGATCACCAGGGCGTATTACAGGGGTGCCACTGGAGCGCTCCTCGTCTACGACATAAGCAGGCGGGCGTCGTTCGACCACCTGGCCCAGTGGCTGACCGACGCGCGCCAGAACGCGCAGCCCAACATGGTGATCATCCTGATCGGGAACAAGAGCGACCTGGAGAGACGAGAGGTCACCTACGAGGAGGGCGCCTGGTTCGCCAGACAGAACGGCTTGTTTTTCCTGGAGACCTCTGCGAGGACTGGCCAGAACGTTGAGGCCGCCTTCCTCGACACGGCCCGGCAGATCTTCGAGAATCTGCAGGCCGGCATGTACGACCTGAGCTCGGACTCCCACGGCATCACCGTCGGGATGCCGCAGCGGCCGCAGCCCACACCGATGCAGCGGACTGCAGGCAGCATGTCGTCCCTCCAGTACGCCTGCTGCGGCGCGAGCTAAGCCCAAAAGGCAGTCCTCCCTCCGCCCTCCTTCGCCCGTCGTCGCTGGCCGCGGCCTCCGTCGACACTTTGGAGGATCCGGACGTCTGACGTAGCGTTTTTTCCCCTAGGCGGCTTGCTTGGAAGGTTGTGAGGGTCCAGTGTCTTTGTATTCTGAGGCCGGGCGTGAGCAATCCGGATCTGGACTCGGTGGTCCGTGGCCCGCAGGGTCTCCCGCATGGTCTTCCGCAGGGTCTCCTGCATGCTCTCCCGCAAGGTCTCTCGTACGGTCTCCCGCATGGTCTCCCGCATGGCCTCGCGCATGGTCTCGCGCACGATCTCCCAGGTGGTCTCCCGTGTGGTCTCCCGTGTGGTGTCCCCTCGTGGTCTCCTTGTGTTCTCCCGTGCTGTTTTCCGTATGGTCTCCCGCAGGGTCTCCCGTGTGGTGTGTTCTTTCCCATGCGTTTCGTCATGCTGTCGAGCGTCTTCTGCCGCCAAGGGTGGACCTGTTTTCGACACGGACTCCCCCAGCTCGCCCGCGTCGTGGCCCTCCTTTCCCACCCATTCCTCCTCCACCCAGGCTGCACTGCCTCACCGCTGCAGGTCTTGTCGATGCTGTGCAGCCGCACGGGCTCGCCAGGGCACTGCTGGCCGACGGACCGCCCCCCTGCCTGCAGCGCCCTTGCACATCTCTGGCTCTCCTTCGGCCTCGCCTCAACTGCCTTCGGCCCGCTTGATTTCTCCCCCCCCACCCCACCTCGTGGGCGGGGAACATGAGTACACATCCATCCACCGTCTCGCAGGAGGGGCGCCTGGACCGCCACCCCAAGTATACGGGCTGCTTTTGTTCTCGGATGCCCCGCGCGTAGCGTATCCATGCGACCGTGCATCCACGGGATCGTGCCCGTGCTCCCCCTCTTCCTCCTCCGGATGACAGTGGACGTAGTACGACTAATGCATTTTGTAAGTGGATGTCGGAGTACTTTATGGTAGTTCATGCAGGCCACAGAAGTAGCAACCATCCAACAAGTTCTGAAAATTAGCAAATTGGGTACATGTAGTCGATCACATTGGCTTATGTTTTCACCATGACCACAGACACAGCATAGCCCACTTAATGTATTAGCTCGTCCCTGCTTTACTAAAGAGCAACTCGAGCTGATACAGTGAATAAGGTTAATGTGGCCCTCTCCTCAAGTCCAGTGGCCTGAATCGCCCCCAATATCCCACCACCTCCTCCCCATGCTTCCCCTCTCCCCCTCCTCTACCTTTCCCCACTCCTTCCTTGTCCCTCCGCATCCTTTACTCTTTTCCGTCCGACCTGAATCCTTCTCCGCCTCCTACTTTTGCTTGGCCCTCCGTGTCCTCCTCCTGCTCGTCCTCTCGGCTCCTTCTCCTCCTCCTGCTTCTCCTCCTCCTCCTCCTTTTCCTCTTCCTCCACATCCTCCTCCTGCCTCATCTCCTTCCCTTTCCCCCCTCCTGCTCCCTGCTCCTCCTCCGCGGTGAGCCATGTTGACTCGAGCCTGGCGAGCCTTCGCTGCACGCCCCTCCGCCACCCAGACCCCCGACGTGGCGACTATCTCACGACGACGGCACCCCAGGCCTCTGGAGCCCTTCCCGGGACCGCCGCCCTGTCTGGCGGCCCGCCCGTGAGCCACGTTCCTACACGGGGCGCTCGACAGGGCCTCGCACTCGAAGGGTCGAGGGACTGCCCTCTCCTCTGCGGAAGGCCGAGCGGAAGCCAGCGGAAGCAGGAGCCAGCCCCTCCGAGAGAAGTACGCTTTTGGGGGGAGCCAGGGCTTCCGGAGCGGGGCCACACGGGCTCGCCGTGTCGTGAGTGCGAGCCTGTGCCGCTGCGTCGGCACGCGAGTCCTGGAGTGCAGTCTGGCAATCGGGCATTCCAGTGGTGCCTCAGCCGGAACCCAGGAGACATCGGCACTCTTGGGCGTTGCGTAATAGGGGGGTCATAAATGGGGGGGTGGCGAGGGTGGTCCGAAAAGGTACCCAAACGGTGCCTAAACGAGCCCCCTGGGGCTCCGGAGGGGCCCGAAAGGGGCACGAAAGGGGACCGTTTTTGACCCCCCCATTTATGACCCCCCCATTAAGCCACGCCCAACACTCCAGGCGGCAGTCCCAGGCTGGCCCTTACCCAGGGACCTCCTTGCCGCCGCGGAGCGCTCTCTTTCTAGGGGGGCCCGGGTCCCGAACTCTGGAGGCCCTGTGAAGTCCCGAAGAAGATCCGCCCTCGTGATTTCCGCTCGCGACGCCTGGGGGTCTGGGCACACCCCTCCGCACTCTTGCTGAATGGCGGACGAGGGGTTCGCTAGCGATGCCGAGGAGCTCGAAGGCGCCTCGCTCGCGTTCGAGCGTGATGACGAGGGGCTCGCCGGCGCCACGCTAGCGTTCGAGCCCCAGCGGCGGTGTTCGTGGCACAGGAAGTATTCCGTGCATCAGGGGAGGACAGCGGACTCAGATGACCTCGTCATCACGAAGGCTCGGCGGGGCACCTGGGAGGAGGGGGGGGGGGCTTGGACGTCTTCTGCCGCTGAAGGGCCTGGGAGGCCCTGTGGCCACAGCTGAACGCAGCTCGAGAAGTTAGCCAGGACGATGTCGGGATGGGTCCTGAGCGAAAGTGGGCGGGGGAACACAAGGTGAGGAGCGTTCTTGTACGAAGGCACCCCGCCTCTTGGGGGCCCTCCTGCCTTCCCCAGGAGCCCTCCTGGAGGCCGTTGGCCGTCAGCAAAGGGCCTATCCCTCTCCGAAGGACGCCACCCTCGCCCGGCCCCCCACCCTGCGTGCTGCCAACACTGGAAGAAGGCCAGTCGAAACAACATCGGGCGTTTCGTGGTGGGGGGGCGATACATGAGGGGGATCGACGGGTGCATGATAGAGGCCCTAAAGAAGCCCTACAGGGGCGGTCCCATGGGTCCCCGAAGGTGCGCGACAGATGCACCTTTCTTCCCCACCGCCATGTTTTTCCTCCCCCCATTGAGCACCCCCCACGACAGCGGCCCTCCTGGGCATTTTTTCATACTGGTTCGGCCTCCCGGAGGCTTCTCGTCGCCACGGCTGGATCCGCCTCCAAAGGCCGGTCACGGTGGACTCTGGCAGGGGTCCAGGGATTGGTTACGAGCCGATTTGGGCCAGGCGGGAGAGCCGCCGTCGTTTCATCTGGCCCTCCTCCGGCAACAGGCTGCGGACATGGTCAGCGTGGCCGAGTTCCCCACGCTGCGGAGGTATATCATGGCCCGAACAGGCGACACGGAGCTGTCCATTCTTCTGATGGCAATGACGCTCGCCTGCAAGGCCACCGCGCGAGCCTGCAACAAGGCGGGCATCGCGGACCTGTTCGGACTTGCTGGCCACGTGAACGCCAGCGGCGACGACCAGAAGAAGCTGGACGTGCTGGCCAACGACATGTTCATCGACGCACTGGTGAACAGCGGGACCTGCGCCGTGCTAGTCTCCGAGGAGAACGAGGAGCCCCTCTTCGTGCCCAAGGAGAAGGCCGGGCGCTTCATCGTGGCGTTCGACCCGCTCGACGGGAGCTCGGGAGGCAAAAGGGTGTTGCTCCCCAGCCCCCTCCCAGGGGCGCGTTCTGACCGCCGATTCCGATTCGAATCCCGCTGCGGATGCGAGGGAGGGGCACCAGTGTCGGCGTGTGATTTTCCTCCGAGTAGCAGCAACATCGACTGCAACATCAGCACTGGAACCATCTTCGCCATCTACGACAGGAAGACAAGCCGTCGTTGTCGTCGCCACCGTCGCCACCGCCGCCGCCGCCGTTTCTGCCGCCGCCGCCGCTGCTGCCGCCGCCGCCGCCGTCGCCGCCGCCGCCGTCGCCGCCACCGCCGCCGTCGTCGTCGTCGTCGTCGTCGTCGTCGTCCTCGTCCTCGTCCTCGTCCTCGTCCTTGTCCTCGTCCTCGTCGTTCGTCGTCGTCCTCGTGCTCGTACTCGTCCTGATCCTCGTCGTCGTCCTCGTTCTCGTCTGTCGTTGTCGTCGTCCTCGTCCTCGTCGACGCCGTCTTTCTTATCACATGACAGGAAGACCAGCGCCGATGGGCCTGCCACCATGGAGGACGTCCTACGCACAGGCATCGGGGAACCTCGGCTGTGCACCGTCACCGATCCTGGCCGCCCCGATCCGGGGCCACTGGGATAGGTGCAGGCGGACAGCTGAAGCGCCCAACCCCCTGCCGTCCTCTGCCGCTTTTCTCAGCGTCTTGTTTTGCTGCTTCTGATTGTGGCCTCGATGAAGGTGGTGGTGATGACGAGTAGTTTTGTTTTTAGCTCTTCGTTGGCTTCTTGGGGGGGCCTCGACTCTGGTTGCGTTGTTTGTTTTTCTTGACTCCCGCCGCATTCACCCACAAGTGGCAGTTGTGGAATGATCGGTTGGCCTGTGACCAGGGTGCAGCACTGTGGCGAACCCGCCTCGCACTCGGAGCCCTTCTCCGCCCTCTTTGTGTTCTTCTTATCCCTGTCTGTGTTCTTCTCCTCCAGTCCTAGAGTTCCTGTTTTGCTCTTCACTGGTTCCTCTGGCAGGTGCCCGGGCGGCGCCAGCGAAGAGGCCGATCGTCGGACGTCCCGGGCTGTCTGGCCTCTCTGCGGCCCCGACTCCGGATCCGCCCTACGTTGGGCGATTGTCGTGAGTAGGGCAGACGTTGCCGCCCTATCTGTTCAAGCTCTTTTGATGCCGATTTCCGCCCTTCTTTGCCGTCGCCGTTTCCGCCTTACTTTTGCGGACATATCCGCCCTACTTTTCTGAGGCTGCAAGTTCTGCCTTATTGCGAAGGCCTTACGGCCGATGCCGCCGACCCTGACAACGACGAAGCTGAAAACGAGGGGGGGGGCAGGGGGAGGAGGATGAGTGGGAGGTGGAGGAAGGGTGGAGGAGGTGAATGAGGGAGGAGGAGGGGGGAGAAGGACGTGGAGGAGAAGCAAGAGGAGGAGAAGGAGGCAGAGGAGAGCAGGAGGAGGGGGAGCCGAGGGGAGGAGGAGGAGGAGGAGGAGGAGGAGGAGGAGGAGGAGGAGGAGGAGGAGGAGGAGGAGAAGGAGGAGGAGGAGGAGGAGGAAGATGAGGAGGCCAGAGGCTTTCTTGGGACAGCCTGGGGCTCTCTTGAGGCCGTCTTGGGCCGTCCAGGGCTCTTGCGCTGTCTCGAGGCACTCTTGGAGGCCTCCTGAGCAATTTGGGGCTCCTGGGCTGTCTTGGGGCAATCTTGGAGGCTTCTTGGGCCGTCTTGAGCTGACGGAAGCGCGAAGCGAAAATCTTTCAATAACTTCAGGCGATTGTTGATGTTTGTCTTTTCGGGTACTCCAGAGGGTCCTGTTGGAGCCCTCTTGGGTTGCCTTGGGCCATCTTGGCGGTCTTGGTGGCCTTCCTGGGCCGTCTTGAATTCCTCCGAAGGCCCTCGTGGGCTAGCTTGGGGCTCTCTTGGTGCGGTCCTGGGCCATCTAAGGCCCCTCTTGCACCGTCTTGATGCCGTCTTGGGGGCCTCCTGGGTCGTTTCGGGGGTCTTTCGGGCCGTTTTGGAGCAATCTTGGAGGCTTCTAGGGCCGTCTTGAGCGGACGGATGTTCGCAGCGAGAATCGTTCAAACATTGTTTAGGCAATCGGTGATGTTTGCTTCTTCGGGCCTTCTGGATGATCCTTAAAAGCTCTCTTAGGCGGGTTTGATGGCTTCTTGGGCCGAGGTCATCTTGGGCCGTCGTGCCCTCTTGGAGCCATCGCTCTTTTGGGGCCATCGTGTCCCTCTTGGAGACTCTTTGAAATCCATGTTGGGAGAATCTTGGCCGGCTTGGCGGCCATCTGACAGGTCTTGGAGCCGTCTTGTGGCCGTCTTGGGGCCCTCTCGGGCTGTCTTGGGGCCATCGTGGAGGCGTCTTGGGCGCTCCTGGGGCGATCTCGGGGGCTTCTCGAGCCGTCTCGGGCCGTCTGCAGGCCAACAAGGAGCGAATCTCGAGAAGCATTGGGAAACACAGAACATCGATGTGCTTCGTTTCTTCGGGCCTCCCAGGAGATGTCCTTGGAAGCTTTTTCGGCCGTCTGGGAAGACTCTGGCGTGGGTGAGAGTCCTGAGGAATGCGTGCTGGGGTGTGTTTCGAACGCTCTCGTGGGCCGCTGGGGGGCAGTGTGGGGCCTCTTCGAGGCTTGAGGGCCTTGGGGCTGGGGGCGTTGTGGCCAGTAATGGGGCCCTCGTGGACCGTTTTAGGACTCTGTTGGAGGCTTCTTGGGACGAGCGAAAGAGAACGCAATAATCTGCGCAAAACGGACGAGAATTGAAGGATTTTGCTTGTTTGGGCCTTCGTGGGATTGCGCCTGGAGGCATTTTGCGCCGTCTTGCAGGCCTACGTGGCCGTCCAGAGGCTGCGAAGGCGTCTTGCACAGATCGTTCGCCGATTCAATGTTTTCTTGAACTGTCTTGAAGGCGTCTCGGGGTAATCTTCGCTCGTCCAGAGGCCTTTTTGAGCTCCGGGGCCCGTCCCTGAAGGGGAACGACGACGGCGGCGGCGACGACGACGCTGATGTGAGTTGAGTCCTCGAGCGCTCTCGAAGGCCTCTGGGGGGCAGTTTGGGGGCCCCTTGGGAGCCTCGTGGGGCCTCCTCGGGCTTCTTCGGGGCCTCTTGGGGGCCTCTTGGGGCTGAGGGCTCGAAATGTCAGTTCGGGTTCCCCGTCTGGGCACTCTTCCGCAGCCGTCTTGGGGGCCTCTTGGGCCGTCTTGAAGGCGTATTGGGCCGTCTTGGAGCCCTCTTCGGCCGTTAGGGGAATTGGGGGCCTCTTGGGCCGTCTTGGCGCGTCGGGAAGCGGAAGAGGCAAGAACGCCAAAATCTTTCAAAAACGTATGGGAAATCCGTGAATTTTGCTTCTTGGGGCTCTCGTGGGAAAGCTCCTGGATGCCTCTTGGGGCGCTTTGCAGGCCTCTTGGGCCGTCTGGAGGCCGTCAAGGCGTCTTGGACAGATCGTTCGGCGATTCGGGGTTCTCTTGGACTGTCTTTGGGGCCTCTTGGGACACTCTTGGGCCGTCTTTGGACCTTTTTGGGCTCCGGGACTCCCGCGGGGGGGGGGCGCCGTATCTGACCCCCCCACCCCACCCTGGGTCCCCCTGGGACCCCCCCAGGGACCCCCCCCGGGACCCCCCCCACCCCGGGGACCCCCCCCGGCGGGGAAGGGGTCGAAGGGAAGGGGCTTCCCGGCTTCCCTTCTACTCAATTACGACGTTGCTCAATTTCGCCTTGGCTGGCGCGCTGAGGAGGTCCTTGGGAAAGGGGGGGAGCTTCGACGAGGCGTCTCGGGGCAATCGATCTTCGCTCGTCCAGAGGCCTTTTTGAGCTCCGGGACCCGTCCCTGAAGAGGAACGGCGACGGCGGCGGCGGCGGTAGCGACGACGACGCTGATGCGGGTTGAGTCCTCAGGGGTGCTGCTTGGGGTCTCTTCCGAGCGCTCTCGAAGGCCTCTGGGGGGCAGTTTGGGGGCCCCTTGGGAGCCTCTTGGGGCCTCTTGGGGCTTCTTCGGGGCCTCTTGGGGGCCTCTTGGGGCTGAGGGCTCGAAATGTCAGTTCGGGTCCCCCGTCTGGGCACTCTCCTGGAGCCGTCCTGAGGGCCTCTTGGGCCGTCTTGGAGGCGCATTGGGCCGTCTTGGGGCCCTCTTCGGCCGTTAGGGGACCCTCTTGGGGGCCTCTTGGGCCGTCTCGGGGCGATCTTTGGAGCCTCTTGGGTCGTCTTGGCGCGTCGGGAAGCGGAAGAGGCAAGAACGCCAAGATCTTCCAAAAACGTATGGGAAATCCATGAATTTTGCCTCTTGGGGCTCTCGTGGGAAAGCTCCTGGAGGCCTCTTGGGGCGCTTTGCAGGCGGCTTGGGCCGTCTGGAGGCCGTCAAGGCGTCTTGGACAGATCGTCCGGCGATTCGGGGTTCTCTTGAACTGTCTTTAGGGCCTCTTGGGGCACTCTTGGCTCTTGGCCCGTCTTGGGCTTTTTGGGGCTCCCGGACTCTTGGGGGGGGCGTCGTATCTGACCCCTCCCCCCCCCCCGGGACCTCCCTCCAGGACCCCATCCCAGGGACCCCCCCCAGGGACCCCCCCCGGGTACCCCCCCCCCGGCGGGGAAGGGATCGAAGGGAAGGGGCTTCCCTTCGACTCAATTGCGACGTTGCTCAACTTCGCTTTGGCTGGCGCGCTGAGGAGGTCGCTGGGAAAGGGGGGGAGCTTTGACGAGCCCAGGGGAAAGGGGGAGGCAGGGAAAGGGGACGACGGAGACGACGACCAACGAATGACGGAGATGACGACTTGAACGGACAAGCCCCTCACACACGCCGACAGGGTCGGCGGATTTGTTCGCATCGTCTTGGGCGCATGTCCCACAACTGCAAGTCGGACAGTCCACCAAAGCACAGCGGATCTGATCTGGAGCCAGGGAGGCCGCACGACGACCGCCCGGGTCCGAGCGGAGTCGGCCCCTCTCGATGTCCACGTCGCCTGCTGCCCGTGCCCCTCCTCCTCCTCCTCCTCCTCCTCCTCCTCCTCCTCCTTCTCGTTTTCTTCACCCTCCCATCGAATTAGACCGACCCGATCGGTCCGATTCGATATCGGTTCTGGCCGAATCGATCTGAGTCGATTCCGATGTCCCGACGGTCCGATGCGCGGCCAGGATCATTGTTGTGCATTCTGGCGCAGCCGATCCGATTCGATTCCGACTCCGATGCAGCCGGATCCAACGCACGTTCCGATTCAAGCCGATTTATCGATTCGATGTTAATCGATCCTGCCTCTCGGACCCCTCCTGCGGCCCATCCTGAATACCCAGAGGGTTGAAAACGTCTAAGACGATGGAGGTTCGACATCCATTCTGGAAGTTATCCTTACTAGTCTGTACGTGTTTCGTTCCAAGTTGGAGATTCGACCTCCAGAACATAGGTTTTCGATCCTCTGGGAACCTCCGGAATCTTTCAAGGCAAATCAGAAGCGGCCCCTGGACCCCTCGTGGTGCCCATCCTGATTGGGAGCGTTCTCCGTATGACTCTTCTTCCTTCTGCTCGCGCTCCATTTCCTCCACGTTCTCCTCCTTTTCCCCTCTCATCCTCCTCCCTCCCTCCCTCTTCCCTTCTCCTCCTCCTCCTCCTCCTCCTCCTCCTCCTCCTCCTCCTCCTCTTCCTCTCCTCATTCGTCTCCTCCTCCTCCTCCTCCTCGTCCTCCTCCTCCTCCTCCTACTCTTCCTCCTCCTCCTCCTCCTCCTCCTCCTCCTTTCTCCTCCTCCTCTCTCCTCTCTTCCTCCCCCGTAACCGCTTTGGCTCAAGATGATGATGCCCCTCGGGCAGAGAATGGACACCTCTGACCCGAGGCTAGATCCCCGCTGTCTTTCCATACGCGCGATCCCTGTGGCAAGCTGCCCTGCGGCCACAGGTCTCCTCCATATCTGAATAAGGTTGCTGGGTGGGTAAACGGTGGAAGTTCCCGTTCTTGCTCAGCTACGTAAGTGAAATCATGCAGCGGCTGTTGCCCCACGTCGTCCACTACTATTTTTTTCACCTCAGCACGACCATCTTTTTTCACATGGCTTCCGATGACTCGTCTTCTGCTGAAGATCAGACTCGCGATCACAGCCGCAGCCGCAGTGGTGGGGAAGGACGTCGCCGCCGACATCGCCCCGCCAGGCGACCCTACTGACCAAGCTGCTCCTGCCCCCCCTGCTGGTGCAGACCTCGAGACGCCGTTCCTCCCGAACCTCGTGATCGCTGGCGCGACCGCCCCCGTCCCGTCGTTGAAGGCCGCCCACCTTCAATGGGCTGTTTGACATGGTGGACCCAGCGGAGGCCCCCTTCTAGCTGATGGCGCAGCCCCTGATACCCTTCAACATCGCGACCCCTGGGCAGGTGCAGCTGGAGGCCGTCTCTCGTTGCAGGACGTGGAGCTCATGGAGGCGGCCCCAACGCTCCCTGGCCAGTTTGGTGGAACCGCCACTCCTACTACGCCACGCTCTGAAGCTGCTGCCGCGGCCGCTTCCAGCTCCTCAGACCCAGCGACATGCTTCCAACAGCAGCTTATGGGCCTCGTCCGCGCTCGCATGGCCTCCACGATGTCTGACATGGACAAGCTCTGCAGGAAGCCGATGGCCCCTACCCAGGCATCCATGGTTGCCGAGATGTTCCGTTTCGTGGGCCCCATCATCCAGAATATTGCCGTCCCTCCAGCGAGGTTCACCAGCTCAGAACCAGACAGCACGACTTGGAACAAGACAGTGCGAGGATGTGCTCCCAGATCGATGACATCAAATTCTCCCTCGCCATGGCAGAAGGGCAACTCTCAGCCACAGGCTTGGCCAGGCTCGCCGAGTACGAGAGAGAAACCAGCCCCCTCTTCTCCGCCAATTGCCAAAACAATGTCGCTCGTGGTGCTGTGCGCGACGCCGTCGACGTGCGGGTCGTCTCCTCACGTGCCCCTGCTGAACACATTGGGGTGGTGGGCGGACAGGTTCCTAGCCGGCGCTTTCCAATTCGTGTCATTGTCGAAGTTGCGGCTGGAGGTATCCGTGCCGCTGCCCTCGCCCGTGTTCTTCGTCTCCCTGGTGGTGCATGGAGAATTTGTTCGCCGTGGTCGTTTCAGACGGTCGACGAGCCACACTTCATGTTGGCGCAGACAAGTCACCTCGCCAGAGTCGCCGTGGCCTGCACAACAGGCTCTTCCTCTCACTGCTCACCCAGTTCTACTCCACGGGACGCGACTGGACCGACAGAGCGGTGGGCCTCCCAGCCAGATCCCGCCAGAGTGGTGGGCCTCCCAGCCCCAGGTGACCGCTAAGCCTGGCTGGATCACGTTTTCGGGCGGGTCTTCGGTCGAACGACGCGCGCGGCTGCAGGTCGCGACGTGCCGTCTAGGATTCGAAATCCTTCAGGGTCTCGCAAACTGAGGTCTCCAGCGCCGGCTCCTCGCAAGCGGCGGCGGCGGCGGTGAAGCCGGCGTGGTGGGGCCTCCAGGTGGCTTCGGCGGCCTTGGCGGCGACTCGCGAGACGGTGGCCCTGCCCCCGCCCCGCCGAAGCGTCGACGGCAGGCGCCCAGGTACCTCGACGACCCGCCCCCGCCAGGTTCCCCTATGGAGGTGGTGCTGTCGGTGCTCCCGCCCGCGCAGCCCTCGTCGACGCGTGGAGACAATCGGGCCCGCTGCCGTCTCCCGCGGCGGACCCATCGACTAGCTTCTTCTGGTTTTTGTCACTATCCAGGTCGGCGGGCCGCGCGGCCCGCGCGTTTCGACGCTGTCGCTGGTGTTCTGGCGGCGGCGCACCCGACCTCTTTCAGTTTATTTAGCAGTCAGGACATGGGCTTCCTGCTGCTGCTCAGCCAGCGCGGAGCCTGGGGGGCCATCTTGGGGCCATCTTGGAGGAGGTCGAGCAAAGAGGGCGGGGGCTTCATCCCCCCCCCTCCACGAGGTCAGGATGTGCCCGCGACCCTAGGAAAAACAGCCAAGTTCTCCTTCTCGCCGAGGCTCTCTCGGATGCGCCAACGACCCGCGCCCCCCCCCCCCCCGTCAAGGTCCAGTGGATGGGGCAGGGGGAGGGGTCAAGACAGTCTCCCCGCCCGCAAGCTGTCTCGCTCACTCCCACCCGCCCTCGAGAGGCCGACAAGAGGCTTCCTTCTCCGCCTCTACTCCTGCGGGCTCAATATCTGAGCCTGCAGAGCGGGGGCCATGGCGGGCCCCCTTTCGGGGCACTAGTTTGCCAGTGTGCCATTTTGGTGTGCTGTTGGGCTCTCCCGTAGGGCTCCCTGGGAGTCTCAGGGGGGCTTCCTGGGGACAGTTAGGGGTCCCCTTGGGCTCTCTCGGGGGCCTCTTGGGAGCCTCCGGGGGGCATTCGGGGAGTTTCTTGGGGTACTGCTGGGTCGTCTCAGGGTGCTCTTGGGCTGTGTTGGGGCCATCTTGAGGGCGTCTTGGGCCATCTTTGGGTTTTTTTGTTTTCTGGGGGTATTATTGGAGACCTCTTGGGCCGCCTTGGACGGTCAACTTCCAGAGGAGCACCCTAAATTTCAATATCAGCATCGTCGTGCAGGACCTCTTCAAGCTTTTTGGGGCCGGGCCGCCTGGAGGCCATCGCAAGCCCCGGAAGCTCGTGGAATCTGGGTCCGGGGTCGGCCAAGAGCTGCGCTGGTGGGGACTCGCGAGACTTTTACTTCACGCCAAGGGCCCGCCGTATTTCTCGTCCGGCCACGGTAATGAGGGGGGGGCTCGCGCATCCCCACCAGCACAGCTCCTGGCACACCCGCAATGTTCCTGGGGTCCTTCTGGGGCCGAAAGATGGTCTCCAGACAGTCCCAGATATCCTCAAGATGGCTTCAAGATTCAAGACGGCCCAACATGGCCTCAAGACGGCGCAGGACGGCCCAAGATGACTCCCAAATGGTCCGAGATGGTCTGAAGACCGCCCAAGAGGCCCCCACGATGGCCCAAGAGGGTTTCACGGTTCCCCCCAGCAAGGGTTTCAAGAAACTCAAATCATGTATGTCCCCGTGTGTGTTTGGAGGAGCTTGGGCGCCCTCGCATTTTGGGCTTTTGGTAGCCCAAGATGGTCCAAGAGGTCCTTGCGATAACCCCAAAAGATTCCCCAAGGAGCGCGAATACGGCCCAAGAGGGCCCCGAAGACTACACCAAGAGGGCCTCAACGTGGCCCAGGAGACTTCTAAAACGCTGCCCTACAGTGCCCCAGGAGGGCCCCAACACGGCCCAGGCAGATCCCCAAGACGACCTCCGAAGTCAGCAGACTGACCAAGAGCGTCCGAAGACGACCCAGGAGGGCCCACAGAGACCCGGAAAGGCCGCCAAGAAGCGCCCAATTCTAGGAGGCCCCAAGAGGGTTCCATGAAGCCACCAAAAGGTTTACTTCTCCCACTCATCCTCGTACGCGTCCTCCTTCGCGTTGCTCTAGACCTCCTCCCCCTCTTCCTCCAGCTGACGGCCCTACGACATGCCACACTGCGGCATGCGCGGCTTAGTGTCCCGAAGGGCTCCCGATCTGCGGGCTCGATACATTCCTTCAAGACAGTGACATCAAGGTGGCCCCTGGGCCCCTCCTTGGGCCCATCCTTTCAGCATTTCCTAGACAGGTCCAGCCGTGATAAGGCCAGAGGAGGAGGAGGAGCAGGAGGAGGAGGAGGAGGAGGGCCCTTTCTCTCTTGCCGATAATCCCACCAGCCCTCTGAGCGCAGGCGGTTTGGGGCGTTTCCTCTTCCAGCTCTCTCCCCCCAGCCCTCATGACCTTACTTTGGGCACGGTTTCTCGATGGGCTGCCGGGGATGCGGGAAGCGCCAAACAGTGTTTGCAAGAGTTCCTAAGAGTCCCCCAAGAGACCCCCAACAGGTCTCCAGAGGGCACAACTATAGACCAACATGCTTCTTCCTGCTCGTCGACATCCTTCTCCTCCTGCTGCAAGAACCGTTGCCCTCCCAGCCGCTTGCGGTTTCTTCTCCCCGCCCTCCGTTTGGAAGGGGCGAGCTGACAGGGTGTGCCTTCTAGCGTCGGCTGACGGCACCACGGGCTCGGCATTTGGTTGCTTTCGTCTTTTCCCTTTCTTCTCCTCGGCACGCTGTTCCTGGCCGAAACACCCCGAACGCATCCTCCTCCTCCACTTTCCTTTCCTTTCCTTTCCTCCTCCTCCTCCTCTTCTTTCTTCATGGCCGCGAGATTTGCGGGCCAGTTTCCCGGAGGGAGCTGTGGCTCCCGCTCCGCGGGAGTTGTGGCTCCCGCTCCGCGGGCTCAGCTTTTCCGAAGGCCACGACATCAAAGTGGCCGGGTATTGCATGTACGGGGCCGCCACCGAGCTAGTGATAACGTTCCAGAGCCACGGGGTGCACCGCTTCACGCTGGACCCCTCGCTCGGGGAGTTCGTGCACACCACGGCTACTCCCCCCCCCGACGAGGAGGAGGAGGAAGAGGAGAAAAGAGGAGGAAGTGGAGAAAGAGGAGAAAAGAGGAGGAAGAGGAGGAGTCGGAGGAGGAGGAGGAGGAGGAGGAGGAGGAGGAGGAGGAGGAGGAAAAGGAGGACGACGAGGAGGAGGCGGAGGATGAGGAGGAGGAAGAGGAGGAGAGGGAGGACGAGGAGGAGGAGGAGGAGGAGGAGGAGGAGGAGGAGGAGGAGACTGTTGGCAGCGAGGAAGACGAGGAGGAGGCGGACGAGGAGGGGGAGGAGGAGGAGGAGGAGGAGGAGGAGGAGGAGGAGGACGAGGAGGGGGAAGGAGGGAGGGAGGGAGTAGGAGTAGGAGTAGTAGGAACCAGTGGCGCAGCCAGTACCGATTAGGACCACATTAAAGAGAAGACCTTCGTTGCCGCCGTGCTTGGTCTCCCTTGCGTAGGACTTTGGGAGTCAAGCCATTCTTTATGCGATCTAGGTATTCGCGCCCAGTACGTCTGGGGGGTTCGCACAACGCTCGCCCAGGAACCGAAGCTGCTTATCAGCGATGCCCCCGCAATGCCCACAAAGCCAAACCTTCAAATCAGTATGATAGTTGAGGAGATTGGAATGATGCAGCCAGCCACCCGCAACGTGGATTCCGGCACCTCCTGACGGAGACATAATGATGCCATCTACTTTGACCAGAGCAGGGCAATCAGTCTTCCACCACATGGCAATTGTGGCTTGTGCGGCCGACCCGAAGCATTTCAGACACTTCTGTTTACACTCTGCGAGCCTGTGAGCCGACATGAGCGGGGCGAGAGCAGCAGCAGCAGCAGCAGCAGGACGGGGAGGGGGAGGAGGGGGGGTGGGACCCCCTGGTTTTCTTATCCCTCGCCTCCAGAGCAACAACCTTCTCGGCGGCAAAGCAGTCGAGTGTGGCCCGTAAGAGCCCCATTCTAACACGCATGGCTTTACTCTCGACGAGGTGCACCTGGTGTCGAAAGGACTCTGGGATCCTACACAAGTTCGCTGCGCAATTCGCCAACTCGTCAGCTACAGTGCTAGCAAACACCAAACTACTTGCGAATCCTGAGACGTTGTCATGACCATCCTGGTGACTTCTAGTGAAAAGGACAGTGACTTGACTACGTGCTCTATCTTGCATGAGTTCAGCAATCTTAGCCCACATAGCTGCATCGGGGCCCTTCGGACTGAGATAGGCCTGGGCGTACCAGCTCTCAGCCAGGGGCTCAAAATCAGTCATATATATATATATATATATACATATCCAAGCGTGGCATAAAGGACTAGGCAAAACGCTTGCAGCTGCCCTCTCGCAACGACCTGCCCATGACCGCAGAGGAGGCCGAGGATCGACGACTCCAGGGCCAGCGGGGTGAGAGAGGAAAACTTGGCGATTGCCAATCCTACACGGCGAAGCCCAGGTCACCTCGAGTCAGGTCCACCCGAAGCGTCCCCAGAAACCAGGACAGGACACTCGCGTGAGCCAGTGCAAAGGCACACACGTTCAACCTCGTTCGCGCCCGTCGCTGTCCAGGAGTCACAACCTACAGGCTCAGTGACTCTAGTCCAGGGCTCTGGGAGAAGGCCCCTAAGTCAAAAAGCCTCAGCAGTTTCAAGCTGGGTGGAGGCTTGAACAACTAATTCGTCAGAAGCTTCATATGCCCTGGAGCCAGTATTTTTACTGCGTTCCGAATACCTGTGGGAGAGAATATCAGGCTTCCCACGGCATCTGTCACACATGTTGTGGCTTGCGAACTTTTAATCAAATCAAGCTTCTGAGTTTTTGGCCAACGTCTTGCAGAGGCAATCGTTGCCATCGTTTCAGCTAGTCCCTTTCCATTGGGGGACTTGGCAAGCTGGCGCAGCAGAGCACGATACTAATCATTGTCAACACCATGTTCAAGCCCACATCCTGCATACTGCGTACTGGCCTGCCTCCACACTTGTAGGCGCGCCGCACATTCCAGATCCTTGAGCAGGTGCAGGTGCTGGTCAAAGCGTGGGTTGCCGGCGTAGCTCTCGTCGGGGGATGTCCACTCCTCGTACGTGTTCTCGCTGGTGGAGTAGCTCCACGCTGATGCTGACGTCGGGATCCAGCCAAGGCGCAACAGGTTGAGGACAATCGCTGAGACAGGACCTCTGACTTGTCGCGCCTGATCTGAATGCTTCACTGTCTGCATCTGCTGAACAACTTTGGGCCAAATCTTCCGGATGCCATTTCTAATATGTGGATGGTCTCGCGAAGTCTTTAGCCAGAGGTCAGCACCTTGAACCACTAACGATATGACATGATCAGCTTTAGACACCTTCAAGTCCAGCACCGTCGTTAAGCATTCGCCGCGATTGCCATTCGAGCATGATTGTGCCAGCCACCGTCTGACCAACTTCAATGGTTCGCCATAAACTCCGTGGACCTGGTGTCCATAAAGTCCTGTACGGAGTCCCCCTTTCTTTTGAAGCTTGGAGGTCACATAAGATTGTCTGCTCGTTTCCGTGAAAAGTCGAATTTGTTTGACATATCATGGTGTTTAGCTTCGCACGATCGTCTGGTACTGCGGGCCAGCCTTCCACAGTCGAAGTCGACTTCAAGATATGTTGCCTGGGCCACTCCTTTGATATGACAGCCTCGCCCACGCACAGCTCGTACTGTCGTCTTCGTGTTCTGGATGTTGGTGCACATGATGATGGACTTGGCAGCGGCCTTGAATTGCCGTTGCTTCAGCTGTTCGCACGTGCGCACAATACACTCCGCCATCCGGCGCCTGACGATCTTCCACGAGTCACACATGGTCTGAGAAAGGTCACCCATCCACAAGCGATGGCCCATTCTGGGGCGCACCGTGGTCACATGCGCCATCACGTAGTGAGTGAGGGCCTTCGCAAACCCGTTGCCTGAGCGGAGCCCTTAGATCACGCTCTGGTAGGACTCGAACGCTTCCGTGGCCGCCCCCATCTGCTCGACGGCCCGTGGGTCCACGCATTGGACCAACTTTAGATACAGCACCACAGGGGGAAAGTCAAGGCGAAGGGCCGCCTCGACTGAGAGCAGCCACGGATTTGAATGGAGGGAGGGAGGGAATGACGGAGGGAGGCATGGAGGGAGGGAGGAGGGAGGGAGGCAGGGAGAGAGGAGGAGGAGGAGGAGGACGAGGACGAGGACGAGGGGGACGAGGACGAGGACGAGGAGGACGAGGAGGACGAGGAGGCCGTTGGCAGCGAAGAGGACGAGCAGGAGGAGGAGAAGGACAAGGCGGAGGAGGAGGAGGAGGAGGAAGAGAAGGACGAGGAGGAGGAGGAGCAGGAGGAGGAGGAGGAGGAGGAGGAGGAGAAGGAGGAGAGGGAGGAAGAGGAGAAGGAGGAGAAGGAGGGGGACGAGTAGGGAAGGAGGAGGAGGAGGAGGAGGAGGAGGAGGAGGAGGGGAAGTGGGAGGAGGGGGAGGAAACAGCGATGATGCTGGGGAGGAGAAGGAGGAAGAGGAGAAGCAGGAAAATGAAGAGGAGGAGGAGGGAGAAGAGGAGGAGGAGGAGGAGGTTGGCAGCGAGGAGGAGGGGGAGGAGGAGGAGGAGGAGGAGGAGGAGGAGGAGGAGGAGGAGGAGGAGGAGGAGGAGGAGGAGGAGGAAGAGGAGGAGGAGGAGGAGGAGGGGGAGGAGGAGGACGAGGAGGAGGAGGAGGAGGAGGAAGGAGGCAGCGTTGATGATGAGGAGGAAGAGGAGGAGGAGAAGGAGGACCAGTGTAAATCCAAGACCCATCAACGATATTGCAATCAACCCTCCTTCCAAACTCTCTCTTCATAGGCCCTACAAGGATTCGTTAACACTGAGGGGAGTGCCCCGGTGGAGGACAAACGTTTGAAAATCCAGAACTGTACCAGAACATCATTTCTGGGACTTCAACGCCGCGAATCACCGTTACTGCTGCGCCATGACGGTCCTGAATCCTGTCAGAACATTCGTTCAGGGACTTCAACACCGAGACTCGACGTGACTGTCGCGCCCTGACATCCCGACATCGTGCCCAAACGCCCTTTCTGGGACGCTGACATTGAGAATCCTCGACACTTCTGCGAACTTTCAATGTGCGCAGCGCTACGGCGAGAACCATATGTTGAAAAAGAGCCGCCCTCCACCCCTGCAGTTCTGTCAAATTGTTGAACCGGGTGCGCGCGGCGCTGAGGCGAGAGCGACATTTTGAAAACGGTCCGTTCTCCAGCCGTGAAAGGTCTGCTAAACTTTAAGAATATGCGCGGCGCCACAGCAAGAGCCACATCTTGAACAAGGACCGCCCTCCATCCGTAACGCTTCTGCAAACCGCTAAGACTAATGTGCGCGGCGTTGAAGCGAGAGCCACATTTTGAAAACAGACCGCCCTCCATCCGTGAAGCTTTTGCAAATTCAAAGTTTCAGGATCATACGTGATAAGGAAGTCTCAGCCAAAACGCTTCGCCAGCCCTTTCGACCGGCCTCGGGGCGCGACAGGGAAGAGTTCCCTACCAGGGGGGAACATTCCACCACTGGAGGCAATTCGGAGAGCACATTGGCCGACCCTCTCTTGTGGTGGGGCGCATGCTGTCACAGCAGCGATTCCAGGTGGCACAGGAGCGAGGGGAGGGGGCACACCCTTGTATTCCTTAGACAACAATGTGGTGCGATTGCCTCAAAGCAGCCGCGCCTGTTGAATTCTAGCCTCTGCAAGGGAATCCGTGCGGCAGAGGGCATGATGTTTGGGATCTTTCAACACGTCTGTGAACCACCTGATAAACCCCGATCAAGGATCACTCTGCTGGGGACCAGGGGGCTGCCACACAGTGCAGCCCTAGCGGTCGATAGGTACTTCCTTCTTGTCGCCGTATGCACTTACGGCAAATCCAGGCGTTTCTGACTTAAGTCCTCTTGTGGTCGGCCTCGCCCGCAGGTGGTCTGGACAGGGCCTGCCAAGCCATACGATCATAAAGACAGGAACCGCAGAATAGTGGACGCCCCG